TATACATAGCATCTTGTGACTGGAGGAGGAGAGGAGGGGGCGGGGTTGTGATATCATCTCTCCTCCTCCAATTACAGGATGCTATGTATTCTTTGAAGAAAGCACAAGCATTTTGTGCATGGGCAATAGTTGGGGGGAGTTGACCGATGCATTTCACCGCATAGGTTGCTTCTCACTCCCCGGAAGAACGGTGTTATGTGCGGGAGTCGGGGTGCTGCAAGGAAAGATTTTTCTACTTTGTAGCGCCCTCTGCACACAACGCCCAGCTTGTTAATGATCATTTATACGCCCAGTGCCCTATGCAAATGAACATTTATTCCCAGAATTTGGCTTTAATGAGTTTCAACTACTTCCTTATTCCGAAAGCAAGTCTTTGCTTGGCTTGAAGAAAGAGTTTGGCACAAAGAATAAGGAAGTATATACTGTGTATATATGATCTATGTCTGCAGTGTAGCAATCTTTGACTTGTGCAGAAGCTGAACATTTACATAAAGATCTGCTAACTATAAATAAGAGAAGTTCTATACACGGACATGTGAGGTTTCATCATCATTCGTAGGAGGACATCGAAGTTTCTGGGGATTATCCATAGATGGGTCAGCTTAAAGGGCCAGGTCCTGTGGAAATAATATTTCAGGTGATGGGCGGATCATTTTGGGTAGTCTGGATACAATGCAATGGCTACAGACACACAGATTTTCCTTCCTTTTGCTGCTCCAATTTTCCTTCAAATTGCCCACTTCTAGTCACATGTAGCCGATCACTAAGGAGCTGCACAATTATTATTATCACAGGTATTTATAATTTGTTGTCAATAGATGCAACGCTTTACATACTGTACATTCGCATCAGTCCCTGCCCTCCAGGAGCTTACACTCTTAACTACAATTCCCAACAAGCCTCTGCGAGTCATGCCTGTACCAGCAATCTCCCAATGCCTCATGGGACTTGTAGTTACACAACACCTGGAGGGGAAGAGTTGCCCACCTCTGCTCAGGAGGAGACTCCGCCAGCCGCTCTGCTCGGAAAGGACACATGTAGGCTTAACAGTCACATGACCACAAAAAGGCATGAAGAAACAAGAAACCCCTTAAGGTGGTTTTAATATTAAAGCGATCTTAGAGGTGACATTAGGTCTGTTGGTGGTGTGTTGACTTTCCATCCACTTGACACTCCCTACTCCTTGACACATTTCTCTTGGAGAGTGGAGTGGTGGAATTTATCCGGGTTGGTGTCTGTATACCTTCCACAAAACCATAATGGAGGTGTCACCACTTCCCAGTATAATCTGGAGAACCCACCAAGGAATGAGACTAGGAGCTTTATAACTGCTGAGGCAATAGGGCACAAATCCTGCCAGAAATATCTAATCCACAAGTCTATCCAGACCTGATGCTTGGTCCTGTGGCAGTCGACACTCACATCTCTCCCCCTCCACTCTGTGGTATGTTCCCCGGTGTCCTCACATCTAAAAGGAAGTCAATGGACCTGCATTAGATGTGAGTTTCTTAGACCACCGTAGCCTGGGGAGAACAGGCTGCGGCGACCAGTCTAGCAGCCCAATGGGACGGAAGATCAGTGAAGTAATACGACCCCTTAGACAAGACGGGCGCTTAACCTTTGCAGTGCGGCGGTAACCCCAACGAAAGGGTAACTTTTTCAAAATTCCTGGAGTTCTCCTTTAATGTGAAACTGTCAGTAAAGAGATATGGAAGCAAAGTGGCCAACTGTACGGAGTATGTATGGAGGCTTTAAAAATTCTAGCTTCCTGTCATGCTGATCTGAAGGCTTTAGTACTTTGAGTCTGTCTGTTAAGGTTCTCATTCATCCAGGTCATGGTATATCTGTAGAAGGTTCTCATTCATCCAGGTCATGGTATATCTATAGAAGGTTCTCATTCATCCAGGTCATGGTATATCTGTAGAAGGTTCTCATTCATCCAGGTCATAGTATATCTGTAGAAGGTTCTCATTCATCCAGGTCATGGTATATCTGTAGAAGGGTCTCATTCATCCAGGTCATAGTATATCTGTAGAATGTTCTCATTCATTCTCATTCATCCAGGTCATGGTATATCTGAACTGAACTACACCCTTCTGATGAAGCCCTGGTGTGGGAGGGGGTGAAACGCGTCATAGGCATTCAGTGAAGTTTTCTTTTCATGTGGCTGCTTCGGCTGAGGCCCCTCCGTGTTGTTTAGCCCAAAAATATTCATATATTATTTGAATCTGGTATATCAGCAAGGACTATTCGATCCAGAGTCTTCTGGTGAGAAAGGAAGAGAGAAAGAAAATTTCACATTTCAGTGAAGGCTTATATCTATAACGAATAAGGAAGCCGAGATAACGCTATCTCCTGAAATCTGCATAGCTGGCATCTGAGCTCTCTTCATACTATTGACGGCAACTTCCTTCTGAAACTTTCCGGATTTCTAACAACAGGAACAAAGATATCGAATCACATTGTACCAGGCTGGAGAGACATTATCTGGCTCTTGGTTCCACCACGGATCCAACCTTTTCCAACTACTCTGGATAAAGGAATAGACCCCACAGAACGGAATATAGATATTCAGTGAAGGCAATGATTTACCAGCACTAGCGCATAAAGCCGAGATATAGCTATATCTCCTGAACTTCCTTTTCCTGTTTGTGTCTATCGGATGAAACTACAAAGATTGAGAACATCATTTTTCCATCTTCAGAGCTGACTCTCCAAAGGAGGACACACTCCATCGTGAGTTGAATTCATTCTTTAATCCGATTGACTGTTTTTTTTTCATGAGTCCTTTGCCTTTTTTTACAATATTTGCTCATTTCCAGCCTACAGAGCTCTGTTGCCATTTTTTCACTTTACTTTCTCTTCCTTCCAGTAAATATGGGTTATTTTTCCCTTGAAGATTTTTGATATTTACGAACCATTTTTTGATACCAGATTTCCCACTTTACTTTTAGAATACAAGGCATTCAAACGGGGTGTCTCTATACTGTTTTTTCCACAATATATTGTTTGGGAATGATTAGCGGAATGCAGCCATATAAATGTGTGTATGTCTTTTGATATTAATGTAAATATATTCTGTTAGATATTTTGGTATACCTGTATTTTTTATAGTTTTTTCATAAATAAATATACATTTTATAAATACTTGATATTTTTTGAAGGAATGGTGGGATCCCCTATTTGGGGAATATTCGAATTTTGTCCATATCTGTAGAAGGGTCTCATTCATCCAGGTCATGGTATACCTATAGAAGGTTCTCATTCATCCAGGTCATAGTATATCTGTAGAAGGTTCTCATTCATCCAGGTCATGGTATATCTGTAGAAGGTTCTCATTCATCCAGGTGATGGTATATCTGTAGAAGGTTCTCATTCATCCAGGTGATGGTATATCTGTAGAAGGTTCTCATTCATCCAGGTCAT